AGAAACCAATGAATTAGTTGAAGTAGACAAGCCTGAGCCAGTCAACTGCTGCAAAGCTTCTGCCGATGCTTGAGAAGTTCTCACCAAGTGTAGCGCAACTGGAGCTTGGTTGTTCTGTTGCAGGGTGGAAGAAGCACCTCCTAACCCCCTGTCCAGTATCTCCACGGTTTCAGGAATTGGCCCACTGCTCTGGCCTGAAACCACCACCCTTTGAACCAAGTTGAACAAATCTGCCAATGTAGGCTGTTCAGACACAGGGGCAGCTGTTCCCTGGTGTCCCAAACCAGGAACCTTTTTAAGCAGTTCCATGACATCAGCTACGGTTGGCTGTCCAACCTCCATAGCTGAGGTAGCCAAGGGACCACATGATGTATTATCCACAGATATACCAGGTGAGAATGCCTCCTGCACCTGTGTAATCTGAGACCCCACAATTTGATCATCATTAGGAGCTGGAATAGCTGGGGTTCCAGAACTAACATCCCGAACGCCCCTGTGAGCCAATTGCTCACACACTGACACACATGCCTGCATAGTACGACCCAACTGGGCCAGGTGTGCAACAATTTCATCTTCTCTACCCTGGGGCTTAGATGCATGTTTAGGTGCCGACTGACCAGCACTAGGACCAGCGGGCACTACACGCCGCTTACACTGAGACTTACTGCGAGGCATAATGGCCAATTTACTCAGACTAAAATTACAAGGCCCTTGGGTTATAGCATTCCTGTTAAAGGCTAAAACCCTTCAGTCAACAATCAATATGGAGAAAAGCCCCAAGAAAATAATGAGCCCAGGGAGATGAAATGCCCCAAGCAAGGACAACCTGAAATAACAAGGCCCTTGGGTTATAGTTTTCCTATCAAGGGCTAAAACCCTCCAGCCATCAAACAATATATGGAACTTCCCTTAATAGAATAATAAGCCCAGGGAAATGAAATGCCCCAATCAAGGACAATCTGCCTTGAAAATGCCCCAAGCAGGGACAACCACCAATCCCCAATCATGGGTCCCCAATTATAACCACCTGTCCCAAGCAGGGACTAACACCAGGCTCTAATGGCCTTATCCTGTCCCAAGCAGGGACTAACATGAGACCCCAATGGCCTTATCCTGTCCAAAGCAGGGACTAACAGGCCCCAATGGCCTTATCCATTCCCAAGCAGGGACAATGGCCTTATCCTGTCCAAAGAAGGGACAGAACCTCAGTCTGAGTGGCTACTGGCCCTACAACTGCCTGGACCAAGCTGCACCAAGCCTTCTCCTCTCTTGGGAGAGGGCTATCCCACTCTGCTTCACCCCAAACGGGCCTTTCCCAACCGGTGTGAGACTAGGCCAATTAAGGCCGCGGCCCCAAAGATTGCTTCAACCTCCTCCCAGTTCCCTCCCAAGGTGATTGGGCCTCCCCAATTTAGAGACCAGGCCGAGTAGGCCACAGCCCCAAAAAGAACCGCCTGCTGCCTAGGCATGTAGGCCTCCACGGCCTCTTTCCAGGCCCCTCCTAATGGAGATTGGGCTGCTTCCCTATGCTCACCACCAGCTATAGAATGACTATGCAGAGAGACTGTTGCAGCAAAAGCTTTAGTACTGAAGAAAGCTTTGGTAGTTTCAGAGAGTGAAAGAGAATGTCAGCCTCTGCAATGATTAAAAAGACATATAAGCAGGTTTAATGTGGGCTTATGCTTGCATACGTCTCTTGTGGAATGCCAGCCAAAGCATGCCATTCAGATTTAAACAAAAACACAACCCAACAAGTCTATGAGGGATACAGGGATACAGACATAGACACTGTTTCCATGATTTTGTTGTGAGATTTCTTCCACTCACATTGAAGATCAACAAAAGAAGGCCAGGCCCTGAGATCTGAGAACTCTACAACATTCTGAACTGAGTGGTACTAAGCAAAGCAGGAATTTTCAAACTGAGCATCCACCAGTAGTTTGAAACAATTCCATCCATTTCCCTTTCTCCAGTCTCTGAATGCTGACTCATTCCCACCTCCATATTCTTCTATGTCAAATGCATGAAAAAGCGTTCTTTCTTTTCTTCTTCTAATTCAGAGTGCTAATAGGACTCTGAATTAAAGAGGAGAATCTCCATCTTGCAGACTTAGTCTGGAGGATAGAAGTGGGGAAAGTGAGGTCCAGAGGCTGCATGTAACCCTCCCCACCTCCATTTTGGGGTCCCCAAGCTCCCATTCCCTCTTCAAATTTCATTTCTCTCTCAAATCTTTTGGCAAAAATCTTTCCACACTTCTGAGGGAGTTTGTTTTTGTTGCAAACTGCAGACAAGTTGACTACAACTTATGGCGACATTATGAATGAGAGACCTCCATGTCACCCTGTTAACAACAGCCTGGGTCAATTCTTGCAAACTATGATCCATGGTGTCCTTGATTGAGTCTATCCATCTGGAATGTGGCCTTTCTCTTTTCTTACTGCCTTCTACATTACCAAGCATTATCATTTTTTGTAGTGAGTCATATCTCGAGGAAATACTGGGGCTTCCCATGACTTTGCCAACTCACCATAAGGTGACAGGTGATTTTTGGCACACATGATATATGAGAAGTATTAATCTTGTTTCCAAGCCAAATCATGCTCTCATAAGCACCTCAGAAGTGTGATTGTGATTCAACTTCAAAACAAGTTGGGTGCTCCCCATATACCTTGCTATAAAGGGAACTTGCCATTTTCTTGTCACCACTGTGACACTGAAATTCAGCAATGCCAACAGGGATAGAGGTAGTCCCAGTAGCTTCAGGTGGGACAAATGCCAATAGGACTCACATCTCAAGAAATTGCCCAGCTCCAGTTTAGATCTTTCCTCCTATTTCATAAAACTTCATAAAATTTCATAAAATCAGAGAGCTGGAGAGCTGGAAGAGACCCCAAGGATCATACATTCCTGATAGATGGCGAAGGAGAAAAGACCCCATGACTATCTTGGAATGGATCAAGAGGCCATACCAAGAAACAAAAGATTAAGCTCTACTCTAAGAAATGCATTTCTGTCTCACATCTTGACAGACAGTTTGTGGAGCAGGATGAGAACCTCTGAACTGTGGGCTCACACATTCTAATAACCAGATTTTCTAAAAGTTACAAAGTCACAGACAGTGAGCATATTCCAGGATGCACCTTTGAAACCAATATATTGTTTTATCTTTAAACTAAGCATCAAGCAAGCCAGCAACAAATTCCTTTCCCATGCTCATTCTATACCCAGTTATCTTTTATCAGGAAACTGAAAGGCAGAATGTACCACTGTGTTGCATTATGCACTGGGCAGTCATATTATTTGGTTCTCCTAATGTTTGCTTATTTGTTAAGGCTTATAGCATACAGAGATTATTTGAACCACAGTGAATTGATGTGCAATCTGCACTGCAGAATTAAAGCAGTTTGACATTGCTTGAACTCTCATGGTTCTGTCCTATGGAATCCTGGCATTTATCATTTGTAGTGGCACCAGAACTCTCTGACAGAAAAGACTAAATAGCTCACAAAACTACAAATCCTAGAATTCCATAACACTGGGCCATATAAAACATAACTGGGTATAGAATGAGCATGGGAAAGGGGAGTCACACTGCATTATTTCTGCTATGTGGATTCTACCTAAATCTAAAATCTGAAATTGCCATACAACAAAGGAGAGACTTTCTTAGGTAGAGAGTTCCACTACTAAAAAGCTTTGCCTGTCAGGAGGTTTTTCCTATTTCATTTCTCCCCTATGACAAAAGAGACTAGAGAAATGTTATCAGGCAAAAAGGTTGTAGGGAATGTGGACAGGAAGAAAATATAATATCAAATAAATATTTGAAGGCCAAGTGAATTTACAAGAAATGCTAATAAAATTATCCTTTGCAAGCCATAGGATTGGATAACACAACGAGTATTACCTATGAAGACAGATCAATGAACTGACATCCTTGTGCCTTGTTACAGGGTGGGAAAGGTCTGCCAGAGAACTATATTAGATTATCTCAAAAGGTTGATCTCATTCTTGCACAATATCGATTACTGCTTGCAACAAGTCCTATATTTTCAGAATACTGCTGATCTGAAAAGTCCAGTATCTATATTGTTGACATTTTCTATATTCCAGAACAATTCAACCCACTACCAGATGGCTAGTCTCTTGAAAAAGTTGACATCCCTTACCTGTAAGAGTTAAATGGGTATGGGACATAGAAATTTAGGAGACAGAATGCCACCAAATGGAGATGTGGGGCTTCTGAATGAATCCAGAGGGATTTGAGAAATGCTCAACAATACTGCCTACCCATTGTATGAAGAAGTCCCAGGTTCAACTTCTGGCATTTCAAGACTTGTCTCAAAACAAGACTGGACAAAAAGGAGAGAAAGAAGTGTACATGTGCATAAAGAGAGAAAGAAGTGTATGTGTACACTTTCATCAGAGAAAGTACATGAATTCAGAAAGGCAAATACAATTTGTTATGAATCCATAATACATACAATATTTTGTGGCAGGTGTAGTATGAGAGACTTGAAGGAGGGGAAGGCCACTGTTAGGTTTTGGACATATCATGAGAAGATATGGCTCATTAGAAATGACAATGATGCTTGCCACAGTAGAAGGCCATAAGAAAAGAGGAAGACTGCATTACTAGTGGAT